GCTCCAATACAAATTTGCTTCACCTCCTGTCACCGTGAGTAGGCCTACTGGTTCTGTATTGCGTCGTTACGATGGGGATTCCGAATGAGTGACAACTTCGAATACGAAGTAAGTCACGATTTATCAATGCAGTCGATTCAGTTCGCAAATGTTCAGACATATCGACTCTAGAGCAAACATGCAAATTAATAACTATTAATTAATTCACTTTGAACGGTAGTGCGTCTAATGACACAATCCGTAAGCGATACGAAATTGAATACACTTTGTGTGAAGATACTTTGAACACTCAATGACACATTTCTCAATCATGGTCATAGGATTTGGTTTGCATTGGATGTCTGTGAAACATGCAGAAAATGGTCTGCAAAATTTCGAAGACATATATAGGGGCTTATATATCCAGTGGATCAATCTGCTGATGAATTTTTCTTTATATATCTGTTTTTTTGTTGTTTTTTTTTGGTTTTTTTTGTTTTTTTTTAATTCTTTATGAGGCTTTACCCCTTAGTCAGACAACATTTTAACCAGGGCCCTGCAGGACTGGAAGGAAAGCAACTTAACCACCGAACTTCCACTCAAAATTGGACCGAGTTGAAATTATAAAACATCCAAGACAATAGCGTTTGTTTATGATTCCTGACGCAAACTATCAATTTCAATATCAATTTCTAAATAATATTTATATAAGGATTCTAAATTTAAATTGTAAATAGTAAGTGTTAATAATTAAAATTATAATCGTATAACAATGTTTACCAAATATCTATTTTCCATGTAATTTTTAGTAATTGATTTTTGAATACGTATTTTAGTTTCATAATTTAAGTTTAGATTTAATGTATTTTGATGATTGGAGGGACCAGTAGAAAGCAATGTTATCACTGATCTGGGTCGCACTCCTTACACAAGACTAATTTTAAAAAAAATACCGTATGGGATTTAATTTTATCACAAATTAAAATAGGTTATGTTAGATTAAATATGTTTATTATTTTCATTTAATTTGAGAATTCTAATAATTTACGTTTTATAAATGTATAGGACCTTACAGAGCCACGATAATAATGGATAGGCCTACTGATGTGGTACGGTACGCTTATAGAAAAATATAATGAGGTAGAGTTTCTTAATTTGTTGGCGTAATGCGCCTTACATGAATAGGCGAAGAATTAACTCATTTGGCAGTCCATCTCGAGAATAATGCGATATTAAAATCGGCACATGATGTCCATATTGAGCGGCCTTGCCAGCAAAATCACCGGTAATACAGCGTCTAAGCCGAAGGACAATTGCACAGGAGCATTCATAATTCGCTCTTGTGTCCAGGTCGATTTACTTCTTACCATTAGTATCAGCTGGTCTAAGCCCAACGATTTGACAATTACGATGAATTACCAGTACATCGCAATTTATAATTTATCAATCAAAATGGAATGAGAGCTGGTGATAATGTTGTCGTAAATTATGTTTAAAGGACATTATTTGCTGCCGTTGCCATGCGTTGAAACATAATGTGAATGCTGTTTATTAGGGCATTTTAGAATCAAACTGTTGTATTTGACATACGAATAATGTTTGTTTAAAACAATTTAATAAAGCCTGCGGTTGACAAGAAACGTTGTTTACAACAATCATGTTAATAGTTTTTCAAAATAGGCCTGTGTTTGAAATTTAGCTAGCTTATTGGTATTTATTGGTATACATATAAACACATATGTTATTATAAAGGTCGTGTTGGCATACCACAGAGTAACTTTAAGCCGTGCACTCACTGTGCCCGATGTCGTAGACCGACGAGATTATATGAAGTGTCGACACGCGCGTGCAACGGAACGTTTTTAATGACGACCCGTTCGGACGTTCGACAATCACCAAACTGAGTCGCATGGTCTGCGCTCAAAGGGAGCGGAATTGGATTCGTCGTGCGACGCAGTGAGTTCCCGCCTTTACTACGTCAATTGCAGGTGGAAAAAGACATCTCCGCCTTAAAAAAATGAGGATCTCATGTCTTGAAAAAATTGCTAACGATAAGGTGTCATGATTAAATCTATTCTAATTGTATGTATATCCTCCTGATAAATGCAACGTAAATAGTCACAAGACTTTAATAGAAATTGTATGTTACAATTATTATACCAAGTTTGAATATGTATTAGTACTAACAAAAATAGGCCTAACTTTTTGAGGGCGAATTGATTATGTGATCATATACCGTACCAACCCTCTTAATTGAAAATTATAATATGAAAATGTTCCCTCACCCATTAGTCAATAAAGTTCTTAAACATTTTTGATTTTATTGAAATTAATAACCGGATCCTCTTGAATCTGTACCGTAGTTTCTATATAAGCTTGAAAGAATAAATTCTTTTAAGAACTCACTTTTTATTCCTCGATTAGGCAGAGTCATTCTTCCCTGAAATAAGAATGCTTAGGCCTATACTTGATAGTTTTAAATGTTTTAAAAAATCATTTCACAATTCTAATTTCTCTGTAAATTGTTTTACTAGCATTTAATATTAATGTTAATTTTAATTCCAATAATTTATTGCTGATCTGTTTGAATCTTCATATTGGTTGTTTATGTATATTTTTTGTAAAGATGTTTAATAGGAGAGCCACTTGATACTTGCACTTTGGGCAATCCTCAGGTAATGAGCATAATGTTTGTATGTTTTTTCTTGTAGCCTATTGCTAATAGGGTATTGAATAAATGAAATGAAACTACTATTTAAAATATGGAACTGCAAAGATAAAATACTGTACCTTTATTATAACCTTTATTTAATTAACAATCAACAATTCGAGTGGAGCTGTAGCTTGGTAGTTAAGATGCTTCCTTACCAATCCCAGGGTCAGTGGCGTATCTAGGGGGGGGGGGCACTCCTAAAATTAATCGCGTCCCCAGTCGCCCCCCTAAAAAAATCACGGTCAAGTAGTTAAAAAATAAAAAATCACATAAAAT